TACACCGAGGCCAGCGGCCCCTGCGTCCTCACGCCGCACCGGGACAACCTGCACCAGATCGACGCTGTGGACGGCCCCGCCGCCTTCCTGGACATTCTGGCCCCACCCTACGACCCCGACGACGGCCGGGACTGCCACTATTACCGGGTGCTGGAACCCGTCAGGGCCAAGGAGGCCCCCGGATCTAGCTGTGACCTGCCCCGAGAGGTGTGGCTCCTTGAGACCCCGCAGGCCGATGACTTCTGGTGTGAGGGGGAGCCCTATCCAGGTCCCAAGGTCGTCCCTTGAAGCCGCAGGCTCCCAGAAGCCGTGCCCTGCTCAGATCTGGGCCTGGCTGCCAGCGACCACAAGGGCTCTCTCCCTACCCCCCGGCTGCCTGGGCATTGGATCGACTGGAGTGGGCTGTAGCTGCTTCCTCGGGAACCTTGGGAATCGTGGACGACTGGACTTCAGCCACGGGGCACGGTTATGGGGGCGGGGGAGGCTAGGTTGTTTCCTGGCTCTGTCACTGCCACCAGGGTTTTGATTTAGGGGGAGGGAGAGGGGGAGGGCAGCAGGGGACTCTCTGAAGTGCTTCCATCCTAAAGCCATAATGAAAATATTCTTCCCTCTGTTCCCATTCTATACAAAATACACTGAAAGGTTTTCTCTTCCCCCATCGCCCCCGCCCTGGGTAAATAGGGTTTGTTTTCCACTTATGTCCTATGCCCTTTACTCCTTATTATAGTTTTAACTTATTGACTGTGCATGACCCAGTGGTTTGAATTGTTTTTAGTTCAAGACATTGGTTAAAAACTAGGCTTAAAGAGATGAGCTACTGTTTAAAGTGAGCTGCCCTGCCTGATTAATTTGTTGTGAAAATTAAATCATTTTTCCAGAGTTGGGGGATGGATCATCCCCAAAACATAGCTATGCATGCAGAGGACAAGATTTTCTTTCCTCCCCTTGCCCAGTAGCCACATCTGGTTTACTCCGGCAGCATCTACTAAGAAATTCATACCTGCACATATCAGTGACAAATTGTCACATGGAGGTTACCTTCCCTATGGAGTCTCCAGATCTGTGAGTTGAGCAGATTTCTTGTTGCAGATTCACCTTTAATGCAAAAATTATATTATCCTCAAGTGACTTCTTTTGTCATAGTCTAAGAGATGGTAGGGTAAATCTGTATTTTCTAACCAGAAGATTCAGAGGCACTGAATCAGTATGCTTCCAGATAACTGAATGTAAAACACCCCTAACCAGCTGTTGAATTCCATGTCCCTGTTTACTTGTAGTATTTTCCCGCAAAAGTAGAGAAAAATGTTGATGACTATTTCAAATTCTCTCAGCCCTAATGTTCCAGAGGGCTGGTAGTTACAGCTGTGTTGGTGGCCCTGTTCTCAGAACCCTCTCCCTCTCACAGGAGAGCCAGTGCTTACTTCATCTAGTGTGGTTTTCTATTGGAAGAGAGAGAAGGCACTAGTGATCAAGGCTACAGAATTAACTATCCTGCTGGCCATTTCAGGGCACCAAAAGTTGGGGCAAAACTTGCCACTCCCAGCCTCTTGAACAGTTGTGCTGTTACTAGTTTTATATTTGTCCTTTTAATAGGCTGAGCAACTTGACTTTGTTTACAAACACATTGACACCATTTGCTTCAGGCCATGAAGCACTATTGTTTCCCCCTTTTTACTATTTATAGGATTCCTTTTTTCATAAACTTTTAACAAAAACATGCTGTAGAAATAAACACATTAAAATTTGCCCAGCTGTCTTCTAAGCCCTCTTGATTGACTTGCCCATGTGGCAGTCCAGTTCTAATATCTGTAATAAAGGGAGATTTACTATTGGTGAAAAGTGTGGACCCTGTAGGAAAACAGTATGTGCCTTGCCTTTTTATGCATACTGGGTTACAGAGGCCCAGAGTAAAGGAATATTTGTTCCCAATTTTTAAAATAGAATGAAAAGGCAAATCCTCAATGATTTTTTTTTTTCTTTACAAAAAGGATGCTTATTCAAGGTGACATGCCACTATGTTATAAATCCTGACACAGGCATAAGGCCAAGAATTTTCTCCAGGGTTACTAACATTGCTTTATGGTAGCTTCATATTCTGATGTGGTTTAATATAACCTGGGGGCAGTTTGAAGCAGTTCTTCATGCATTCAGTTCAAAAAGAAGTTCTAGATGTGCAAACGATTTTTCTTAGAAAAATGTTTACCAAATGGATGTTTTTCATAGCACAGTAGGAGTGTGTTTAGTTATCAGTCACATACCTACCCACCTGAATTATATTGTAGCAAAAAGTTAAGACCAGTTAAGATTATGGATAGTAATGTGTATGTTATAATACAACCTGGAGTACATTAAACTGACTATAAGAAATCATCCAGGCAATAGGACAGTAATAAAGAGATATTTTTTTCCAAACTTCATTATGAAAAGTGTTAAAGTTCTAAAGTACAGGCAAGTTGAATGGGAAAAAACTAAGGTGCTTTTCAAAAAAATAACTGAAATTGTTGCAGGCCAAAACAGCAATATCATATTTCTAGTTTAGTTCAAAAGGAACAGTGAAACTTTTGGTTCACTAATAAATTCTGAATAAATTAATGGTGAACACAAAATGTAACCTGTTTTAGTGAGCCACTGAGAAAAGACTCTTCTTATTACAAAGACAAATGTGCAGAAAAACCTTGCACCTTTCTGCATGAACTTAGGACTGACTTCATGTGCTGCTATTGTGTTCCCATGTATTCCTGCAATATAGACTGTTTTAGTAACAACTGTGGGAAAAAGTTGTCTTCCCTACAAAGACTAATGAGCACAATGGTACTAATCACTTAATTTTCTATTGAATAACATGCAATAATTGCCTCTCACAGGTAAGAAGTTCTCTGTCTACTTTTAAAGCTTTTTAATTTTCTGGTTATATCCATGGCCACTTATATGAATGGAGAGTATTGTGCACCTATGTACTACTTTGAGAATTGATTTTTTACTAAGCCTGATTTGCACAAATTGAGTTTATACCAATTGCTGTTTATTAACAAAAATGGTGAGCCTATTTTTAAAGTAATATGTGTTTGTCAACAGGAGTGGGTTCTCTGACCTTTTAACACTTACATCACTTAACTTCTCCCAAAATCTCCACCTTTTATTCCTCCTTTTGCATTGTCCCTTTGTAGGTACCTCAGTCTTGGCACCCCAAGAGGACTCTGTTATCTCTTATCTATTCCAAATGACTTTGAACCTTGTGCTATTGCTCTACTGCTTGAGGGAGAAGCAATATATCTTTAATTCAGGGCTCTGCCCACTGCTATTCAACTCTAACCTGAGGGCAGTAACACTCCTGTAACTCTCCTGGTCTGAACTCAGGACCATTGATCCCTTTAGTGCAATGAGGCATCTATTGTCAAAGAGGGATATCATTTGTTAAGCCCCATATAAATACTGAATTTTCAGGTCCAGGGATGTTTACGTTTCTGGGTTAAAATCAGAGTACTTATGGAAAATAAAGGCATGTTTGAAATTGCTTAGAGGTTAATCTTATTTGATTATCGCAAAATAGAGAAGGAAAATATTACTTTCTACAGTGGCTACATTTTACTTGCTGTTAAAGGTTCATGGTCTATACTGTAAGATAATGTTGAACTAAAAACTGGGGGCCTGCAGATTCTAAAGTTTATTTCCTTGAGAGTGAGCTTTGAAATGGTCTAATTGAAAACATATCTGAAACTATTTAATGTTTAATCATACTGTTTTGCTGCAACAGAAAATATGTTTTCTATTTGACCTAAGGAAAAATAAACTAGTGCAAGGAAACAAAAAATACTTTCATCCACAAAGGAAAGAAAATTTGGACTTAAATATTTTCTTGTCTTTAGTTTTACTGTAAAAATTGTTTGGACTGGAGGCATTTTAGGCACTTGAGATGATGCTGACCATTCTGTCTCACACATACACACACACTGTATTGAACTGTTCAAATATCACTACAGGCATGTTTAACATATATACCCAACAATGTGTCTTAATTTCATTAGCAGTTAGGATACTGAAATTAAATAGCCTGGTTTATGAATAATGGAAAAGCTTATTTGGGTGTAATAGGCCTATTTTTTGCATTCACTGAACATCTCAGATGCATTTTGATCTTTAAGGAATTACTCTCCAGAAGTTTATTTTTAATAAGAATTCCTAGTAGCAGCTGGAACAGTACTACTATTCAATAAAGCATTGAATATAAGAAGGAACCCACTTGGCTTTATATGCTTTATTTCTTGAGCAAAGTAAGAAAATGAGACACTTGTGAAAAGCACCTGAATGTTTCAAGCCAAAAGTAAAACCTAATTAAAGACTGACCTAACACGTTGAAATCAAGGGGTAAAAGCCTCGGGGTTGACCTGAAGAAACGCCTTACGGTATGTTACACCACTTCACCAAGCCTGCGTCAGGGGAAGAGTGAGCGTGTAGCCGATTTAACTATCAAAATGTATTTAATCTTACTCTCTTAAAAAGCTTTTTTAGTCTGTTGTCAACAGTTGTTTACATTATCTTGACTGAAGTTGCTGTGAAATTAAAATTTGGCAAGATATAGATCTTATAAAACTTAGGTGTGCTATATGCTAATTAATGAAATTTTGATAGGAGGGAAGTCTGCATTAAAAACAATTATCAAAATGTGGCATTGCTTTATACATGTTAAACAAAATTGGCCAGGCAAGAGTGATAATATGCTGACAAGCTAGGAAATAGGAATCTAAGAGTTAACACCAGTCATTGGAACAATCTAACACAAGTTTAGAAACTTCTATTTAGTAGTTACAGAAAGAGGTATTCTACATCTTTGAAATTTGAACAGGGAAGAAATAAGAAAAGGGTTAATTCCACATATTAGATTTCAAAATCTAGTGCTGGTGAAGGCAAAAAGCAGTTTCCAGGAGTAGCTGTTGCTGTCTGCTCAAGTACAGCCAACATTTATCAGCCAGGACAAACATGGACAGGGTTTTCAGACAATGTAGCTAAATCGTGGGCACTCCAAGATGTTACGCTTGTGTAAGGATCCAGAAGCAGAGGGTGAAGTTAAATATTTAGACCCAATTTTAGAGATAACTTCATAAAGACAATCATTTGCTTTGTATGACAGTTGACAACTTTTTTTGGTGACTTTATATTTTAAAATCACTGCAACAGGCTTGCAGTAAAATGAACCCTAGAGTGTACTCTTGCAAACCATTACCCAGTACCATGGAGGACAGTATTTGCCTATTTAATTAAAATTGTATTTCTTTGAGATTTTAAGGCTGGTGAGCTGGGTGTTTTAGTAATCTCTAGACCCACCAAACCTATGGCAGGTTAATGATCCTTCTGAATAGGGGTAAATCAGGGAGAAATGAGTCCTAGGGTAATTCCTTTGGCAACCCATTAATGCTGTCATCAGTAGTATCTGAATACATTTTTGATCTGAAGATGTGATAGCACTTTTCAAAAAGTTTTCTGTGGTTGTGAGACTAATCCAGGAACCTGAAAGTCATTTCCAGCTTGACCACACCACCACACTTTCCACAAAGCCACATTTCGTCTTGAGTTCCTGGCCCTGGTCAGGGTTCTGAAAGCAGTGGCAAATGTGTAGTCTCCGAGTGGGCACTTGTTTGTAAGTATTTATTTTCCGGAGCCCACTCAGGAGGGGTGAGAAGCTATAGGCTGTTGCAGAGGACGGAACAATGAGTCAAAAGCACGCCTCCCCGCTTTTACACTAATGCTCTGGGGAAATCCCCGGAGCACCAGCGCTTGATTATGAATGGAGATTGCTTCGGGGTGAGAGGGCTGGTGTTGAGAGGCTAGCACAGAAAACTTGGATATCCTGACCTGTCAAAGTGCTAAAAAATCACTGGATGACTGCTGAATTCCCATCCAGCCAACCTTTCAGAAATGATTTCTAGAGCGAAGATATTGTTGAAAAGTATTTATTTACACTATAGTTATAAACCATCCATTATCTGAACTTCAGTTAGTGGTCTTGTGTTAGAATAAATCATTTGTTTCCACAACTATTAAGAGCTAATAACCAAACAAGTCAGCTCAGTAACATTATTTACATTCTTATCTGCAATTTGACTACAAAGGTAACACTTTTAAGTCACAAAACAGAGCATACAAAAATATACTTTCTAAAAAAAAAAATTCCAAATATTAATAGGCAGGTATGTACAGCCATACTAAACCCAGGGAGTGATTTTTTTTTTTTTCCATAGTAAGGCAACCCATTTACATGCAGACCCTGTAACATTGTCTACATCACACAAGGCACCAAGGACACTTCCAACACAATTGCATGCATCCTAGTTTCAGAGAATATATGTACATCCCCTTTTAAATAAGTTAACCTCTGACTCGTTTCAAGAGGTCATAAATGCTTTACTTTTTTTTTTTCCCAAAGGTTCAGAACTTGGAGAACAGTGCACATCAAAAATACACAAAATCTGAGTGGATATACACTGCAAAAATAGTCTTTACGTTTCTCAAACAACTCAAAAAGGAGCAGATATTGCTATGTCCCTCCTGTCACATTGCACTTCTGTTCTGAGTTTATAATACATATTGCTTAAAGGGTTGAGAGGACTAGATAAGCTTTGATTCACTGTTGTAGGGCCACAGAATGCAGCTTAAAGACCATGCTTTACTCATTGTACATCCCCCAAATCAGTCCCGAGCCATAAAGTGCACATCAGTTTTGCTTCTGTCTTTGCTGTCCCCACCTGAAGAAATCAGCATCTCCCAATCTACTGTACAAAACATTTCAGATCATCTCTTGACATTCAGAGTCAAAAACCTGTAACTGGTCAAAATAAGAGAGGGGAGAGCAAAACCTAGTCAAACAACCCTTAAAGCAGGGTCAGGCCTCAGCCCTCTAGGCCAGGGACCCCCACCAAGCCCCCTTCCGAACCTCCCCCTGACCTTGGGGCGATAGTCAACTCACCAAAGACAGACTAAGGTGGGCTAACATTTAGGAAGGACCTGCTTCTAAGCGGAAAGGGGCGCAACCCGGGCTCCCCCGAGGCCCTTTGCCCAGTGGAGGGAGAGAGGGGCAGGAGAGGGGGGTAGTGTTTGTTGTGCAGCTCCAGCGGACCGAGGGCCTCTGGGACCTCCAGAAGCTGGCGTGGCAGCCTGAGTCTGGTCTCAAGGTGTCCTGGTCCTAGAGGAGCAAGTGGCCAGGGACCCTCCAGCAATGGCGCTGCCGTTGCTGCTGCACAGGGGCACTCCAGCCTGCGCGCCCCCGGCGCACGAGGCCGTGGAAGCCGCCGGCACCGACGAGGAGGGGGCACTGCTTTTGCGCTCCTTCTGTCTCAGGTGGATCTTGGTGTGGCGCTTCCTCTCATCACTCCTGGCAAACTTGCGGCCGCAGTAGTCACAGGCAAAGGGCTTCTCGCCGGTGTGCGTGCGGATGTGGGTAGTGAGGTGGTCACTTCGGCTGAAGTTGCGCATGCAGATCCGGCACTGGAAGGGCTTGTGCCCGGTGTGGATGCGGATGTGCCGCGTCAGCTCGTCGGAGCGGGAAAAGCGCCGGTCACAGCCTTCCGCCGGGCAGGGGTAAGGCCTCTCATGCACCGGAGTCTTGCTAGGCCTGTTGGGGTACTTGCGGGGCCTCAGGATGGGCCGCAGCGGCAGGTGGTGGGGGTTAAAGGCGGCGGCGGCGGCGGAGCTGCTGCTAGGCAGCCGGGGCCCCTCGCCGCCTCCACTGGCCCCTGGCCCTGGCGCCCCCGCACTGGGGCCCCCCAGAGTAAAGTTGCGGATAGTGGAGAGTGGAGTGAGTGGAGGGGGGACCCGCAGGGAGTCCAGGGGACAGGGAAAGGGCTTGCGGTCCGGGACAGCTGTGCCATGTAGGTCTCGCTGGCACTGTGGTGGGAAAAATCCAGGATAGTCTGGGATCACCGGGAAGAGACCTGGGTCCGTGGTCGGCTTGGGGGACGGGTAGGAAGGAGGCGGTGGGTAGCCCAGAGAGGAGGAGGTGGAGGTGGTGGCTGGGGACAGGAACGCTGAGGGGTCCTGGTAGAGGTCTCCTGTGCAGCCCGAATAAGGAGGCGGCGGCAGAGGCGGAGAGTAGATGTCCAGGTCGGGCTGGTTCTGGGACATGGTGCACACGCCCAGGGGTCCCGTGGCCAGTGGGTTGGGGGAGGCGGAGGTGACGCTGGACGAGGCTGTGGTGGAAGCTGGGGAGGTGACCCCTTGCAGGATGCCTGCACTCACAATGTTGATGATGCCTTCTGGGTAGCAGCTGGCACCAGCGTACTGGGGGTCAATGGAGAACTTGCCCATGTAAGTGAAGGTCTGGTTTCGGGGTGCAGAGACGGGAGCAAAGCTGCTGGGATATGAGAGATCCAAGGACCTTTTCTCTCCAGTCATGTCAATGTTGATCATGCCATCTGGGGAGAGGGAAGAATGGAGGTGGGGCAATGAGAACACAGCCAAGAGCCCCGCTCACCCCCTCTCACACCGGTGCTTTCCCAAGGCCTAGGGTCCTAGTGCTTTAGAGCTGGGTGGGGAAGTCGCTGCCCAGAGACAGCAAGAGGAGGCTGTTCCAAGACCCCACTGTGGCAGTCGGTACAGTCTAGGACTCAAACTACCTCCAGGCAAGCAGGATGAGCTGCTCCCAAGCCCCCCC